TTAATCAGACAGACTGCCCTTTAATCAGACGGACTGCCCCTTTAATCAGACGGACTGCCCCTTTAATCAGACGGACTGCCCCTTTAATCACACGGACTGCCCCTTTAATCAGACGGACTGCCCCTTTAATCACACGGACTGCCCCTTTAATCAGACGGACTGCCCCTTTAATCAGACGGACTGTCCCTTTAAGGTCCTCCAGCAGCAGCAGGCCCGGGCCAGGGTCAGCCCTGTCCTTTAAATCATCCTGTCAGCCGGGCTGCAGCACGCATGCGCCTCTGAGCACCTGTTACCCGGTGTGACGTCACGTGTCCTCCCGGAGTTGTCAGTTCAAATCCCGAAAGCTTCAAAGTGATTCCAAGAGCGGGAGCGCGCCCTCCCCCTGTTTTTAGACGCCGGGCGCGTTCAGGGCCAGAGAGTAGGCGGCCATCATCTGGGCGCGCAGCTGCTGCTTGACGTGCACGCGCCCGTGCCGCTTCCTCTCGTCGCTGCGCGCGAACCTCTTSCCGCACACGTCGCAGGAGAAGGGCTTCTCCCCGGTGTGCGTGCGCGTGTGCGTGGTCAGGTGGTCGCTGCGGCTGAAGCTGCGCGCGCAGATGGCGCACTGGAAGGGCTTCTGGCCCGTGTGGATGCGCACGTGCCTGTTGAGCTCGTCGGAGCGCGAGAAGCGGCGCTCGCAGCCCTGCACCGAGCACGGGAACGGCTTGGCCTTCAGCCCGCTCTTGGCGGGGGCCCTCCTGCCCGCGCGCGTCTGCTTGGGCGCGTGCACGCCGCTGATGTTGATCATGGGGAACGCGCCCTGCAGGAGGGAGGAGAGCAGGTGCGCGTCCAGGGTGGAGGGGGYGCAGAGGAGGTCGCCCTGCACGAGCTCAGTCTTTATGACGGGACGAGCGATGACGTAATTACCGGAATCTCCGCCGGTGACCGGAGCGGACAAGCTCCTCATCCAGTCCTCCACCGGCTCCGGTTTCAGCTCGCCCTGCGCGGCCTCAGARCCCAGCAGGGACTCGATCAAGTCCGTGACGTCCAGCTGCTCCAGGGCGCACAGCGGGAGCAGCGCGTCCGCGCAGGCCGGGAGCAGAGCCTCTCCGCCGGGCGCGCATGGCTGGGAGCCCCCGCTGTTGCAGCTGGAGCTCCCGAACTCACTCTTCACCACAACCGGGGGGGCACCGGAGGGGGCTGCAGCCGGGGGAGGGATGCTGAGGTCCGGGGCGGAGGAGGAGGAGGAGGGGTCACCCTGCTGCTGCTGCTGCTCCATCTCCGTGCAGATCCCCACGATCTCCGTGATCATGCTCAGGATCGCRTCCGCGGTGCTGCTCAGTCCCGCCGCCGCCGGTTCCGGCTCCGGTTCCGGCTCGGTGAAGAAGCCGCCGGTGCAGCCCAGAGACGGGGAGAGGGTGTCCGAGGAGCAGTCACTGAAGTCGGAGAAGAAGTCCGAGTCTGAGGCGTCGGTTCCCGGGGAGAAGACTGGAGGAGGAGGAGGAGGAGAAGGAGGAGAGGAGGAGGAGGTGTCAGTGTCATCATTGTATAATCTCACCTCAGCATCACGGGGTGAGGGTGCACGTGCACCTGCGTGATTAAAACACTCACCTTGGCTGAACGGAGACCCCACATCCGAGTCGGAGCCGTGGCTGGAGCCCACGCTGTCCACCCAGGCGCTGCACGCGTCCTCAAACTCCGACATGAAGCTGTCGTCGCGCTGCAGGAGCATCCTGACAGGTGTTACAGGTGTTAAAGGTGTTACCGCGGGAGGAGAAGGAAACAGTCAGGTTTTATCCGGTACCGGAGCCCGGTTCTGTTAGTCCGCTCGGTGATGCTGAGGATGATCAGCTCCCTCCGCGCGCTCTCCGTTTTATACTCTCCGTCTCCAAGGTAACTCCCGGCACGCTCCTATTGGTCGAGCGCCGGCGTGAGGGATTCCCCCCGCCGAGCCCCTCGTAGCTGCCCAAACATGGGCAACTTCCGGCCGTGACGGCGGGTATCCCCCGGTCCTTATAAGGACACGGCGGCAGAGCAGAGAGAGGGCTTCCCTTCACTGCGGCAGGAGAGGAGAGCTTACACAACCAGGACCCTCTCAGTCTGACGCATCTGAACAACCTGAAGATCAGTTTATACAATATCATGTCTGAGAGGACAACAACACAACAACAACACAACAACAACACAACAACAACACAAACAACAACAGGTTTTATGTTCCTGTCTGCACAAACAAACCATCTCAGAGAGACTACAGTGCTGCAGAGACACATGAGAACATCACTGGTCCACATGTTACTGGTCCACATGTCACTGGTCCACATGTTACTGGTCCACATGTCACTGGTCCACATGTTACTGGTCCACATGTCACTGGTCCACATGTCACTGGTCCACATGTTACTGGTCCACATGTTACTGGTCCACATGTCACTGGTCCACATGTTACTGGTCCACATGTCACTGGTCCACATGTCACTGGTCCACATGTTAC